TACTATTTATGGATCTCTTGGTTTCCAAATATTTAGACATAATACTTCGTTCCATGTCCCATCGTTCCATGTCCCATCTTTTTTTTTTTTCTTTACCCAGCCTTCAAGTCCATAACTTCTGAACCAGAAGAAGTAGAATGGGTAGAATGTAGAAGAATGTAGAAGAATATAGAATGTGGTAAGAGAATGGAGAAGTAGAATGGGTAAAGGGAGTATGAGTTTCCACAATCAGCTGATGATTAAAACTTACCAGAAGCCTTCTTTGAAAAAAGGAATGACTAAGCATCCAATCCACATTTCCCAAATTTATCCTAAGTAACTAAGATACAAAAGATGCATTTTGTGTTCATGTCGTCACAATGCACGGAATGTTCACCAGGTGCTAGATGCACAAAATTATTTAATACATAAATTCCAAAAGCCTGTATTTTTAAAACGACTCTAATTAATTATAAGGGAGCAAATGTATTTGTCTGTACTAGGACTCTTTCTTTAAAACCAGTTTTCCGTCTGCGCCGGTACAAGGTGGAAGTTATTAGGAAACTAGTTGAAGAGCTCACCATGCAATGTGTTCTGCTTATTGATTTCTAATCACTCGAGAATGTTTTGTTTCATGTTAGAAACCGCATCTCTGATGCTCCCTGCAACCCCGCCGTGCTCCACGTGTCTCCACCTGTGAGGCTCCAGCCAATAGCTACATTTGCATTGTTCCAACCCCAAACCAGATCTATTTAAAACCTCATTGGCTGAGAAAGGGAGGTTTGGTCCTTCTCAGGGCTGACGACCCATTCAATCTCCGCACATCACCGGGGTCTCACTCTGCCTTTTCCAAGACATTTCTTCTGAGGGTAGCCACCCTGTCTTGCCAGACCTTGTCCAGCTCAGTTTGACCAAACTCTGTTTTGTGGTCGCCTTGAAACTGTTCTTGTGGTTGCCACCTTAACTCTGGTCCCGGGCCTTCTGCATGGTCTATTCCTTTGGACCTCCTCATCTAACCATAGAGTAGAAGTGGCCTTACAAACACAGCTGCAGAGTCCATAATAGTAAGCATCTTTGTTGGACATGACAATTAGTTTTGTAAATATTTCACCTTGCTGTTGTTTTTAGCCACTTACAGTTATGCTTTCGTGAGTACTTTATAGTTTTCTGAGTACAGATTCTTTGCCTCTTTGGTTAGGTTTATTCCTAGGTATCTTACGGTTTTGGGTGCATATAATAAATATTTTTAAGATTTTATTTTTTAAGAGACAGAACACAAGCAAAGGGAAGAGAAGGGGCAGAGGGAGACGGACAAGCAGACTCCCACTGAGTGTGGACCCTAACATGGGGCTCAATCCCAGGACCCCAAGATCATGACCTAAGCCGAAGTCAGAAGCTTAACTGACTGAACCATCTGGTGCCCCTTATTATCATTATTTAAACAGCTAGTTTCTGTGCTTGCTTTGGCAGTATGTGTACGAAACAACATTACTATATTTGAGTAAAGATTAAGGGACAGTTTGAATTAAATGTGCTGGTTTGTTCTACTCTTTTCTTATTTAAAAGCATACCTTTGTTTTTTAATGCTGAGAGAGTTAATGTGCATCAAAGTTACCTGCAGTTCTTGTTTAAGCACAGATTTCTGGATAGTCTTCCACCTTTATTGTTTCTGATCCAGTAGGTCTGGCTGGGGCTGGACAATTCACATTCTACTTGTTCCCAGAGGTGGTTGATGCTACCTCACTGGGGACCACACTTTGAGAAGTGCTGGTTTGCAAAGCTCATTTTAGAGTACTGCCAAGGAATTAGTGGCATTAGAGGAACTATGAGAGATGCTTTTGAAAGTGATGCAATGTTCTAGTAGAACAAACTAGCACATTTAATTCAATAAGAGATGATTAGACAGTGGTTAAATCACCTGCTTCATACAAGTATTTCACAAAATTAAACATTTTAAAAAGTCGTTTTGGGGCAGCAATTTTTGACTATTCCATATTGAAATGGTCTTTCCAGTGGAAGCCGTGACAAATTTTCATGAAGCAACATATTATTAAGGACATAAAATACTTCACTCACAGCAAATGCAGAAGCATTTTTTCCATGACAGTGAAATCAAAGAATAATTTACTTGATACCTTGAGCTGCCTTCATCCTCTGCTGGATTAAATTTGTCTACTTTTTAATTGAATCTCAAAATCTTGGAAATTAGCCATTAGGATAAGATGGTTTTTAAAAACTTAAAAATTGAAAATAAAATTTCTTAAAATAATTCCTTTTATAGGATGAGAGAAACAGTATCAAAAGGAAGGTTGGAACATTCCAAACCATAGCAAGAAGGGGATAATGTGAGTTACTAGGTAAGACTAGGAAAATAGAAGGTAGCAAGAAGGATTGGAAGATAATATTTCACCTGCTTCACATAGCCTACAGCTGGCCCTTGGAAGGACTCCCTCAGAGCAGGTTATCCAATTTCTTTGTATTTGTAAATGCACTTCACTGATTTTGACATTGAGAGCCCTACATAATGTGAATCTTATTAAATCCAATTCATTCTTTTTCTGTTTTTCAGTTCTGTTTCCCCAGTGTCCATGGTGATGATTGTACTCTTTCTCTGTTACTTTTTCTAGGTTTTATCTGCTAATGTTAGAGCACACAGACATTTCAGTGAAAAAGCAATGGTTCTTTTGAGTCCTCTGTAATAGCCCCTAGGTTATGGGTAATTTACCATGTGTCATCCATCTGGAGGACAGGGTCTTCAATGTCAGGGTTATTTTTTTTGCATGTTCTTTTTTTTTTTCCCCCAATATGAAACTGTGGGTGTGAATATCAAGAGTCAGTGTGGCCTTAACCAACACTAAAAGGGCTACTGATGTTTATTTCAATATTTTAGAAGAAGTGTGATTTCTTGACATTTTGGCAATGATTTTTGGTTGCCATCTTCAGACTCTGATGGAGAGGAAGGAATTTAGAAGAATGTTTTATGTTCCACTTGTATAACAAATGTTTTACCTGTGCACAACAGATGCCACTGACATATGTTTGCTTTCAACTGTAAAAGCTGAAAAAGGGTCTTGACCAAAAGGGTCTTGCCCAAAGAAAAGAAGATTTCTATTCAGGCATTATCTGTATGCGTGAGTCACCCTTTTGGGTCCAACTTTCATTTACACTCTTAGATGAGATCAGGGCCCCTTTGATTGGCTACCTGCAGTACCAGTAGAGTGGGAATTGTGGTGGCAATGTGAGTGAAGTCTTTAATGCAAAATACTGAGATTTTACTTGACTGAATGCAAGAATTTAAAGATTTATAGAATATATATATACTTTTTATTGCAGATAATTAATGGGGCAGTGATCTTTCTTCATTTCTTCAGCTATATAACTTATCTTGTTTTCCTTTCTGTAGGAGATGAATGTGCAATCCATATACATATTAGTTTTACGGGTCAATGATCTAAGTAAAAAATTGAACCACTAGATTATTTTGGTCAAAAATATCTAGACACTTGAATATAAATATTGTCTCTATGGTTACTGTATTTCAAGCTATCGTGCTTAGATTCAATTTAACCCATTTAGAATCTGAATTTTTTTTTTTTTGCATTAGCAAAGCATTACTCTGCAAAGTACCTGCCACAGAAAAGATTCTTTCTATTATACAGACAATTCCAGCTTAATACCAGCAAACATTCAGTGTTTAAGATCGTGGCATTATGATGGATGATGGCACATTCCTAAACATACCAATCCTTTTTCAACTGCAGCTGCACCATTATGCCTCTCAAAATCATTAATTCAACAGCACTGCATTTCAAACATGATTCACAATTAAATTCAAACTCACAAAGATGTATCTGCCAGTAATTCTTAATCTTTTTGTTATTGTGACATTATTTTTTTAATAATTGCCCAAATCTTGTGGTGCATATTTTCATGGGGTATATTTATTTCATTCATATAATTAACCAATATTTATTAATTATTACTATAAACCATGAATACAGTGCTAGGAATTAAAAATATTTTATAGGACACTTTATAGGTCGTACCAAGTTCTTTGCTTCCTGGAAATTATGAACTAAACTTATTGTTTATAAAGTGCATCTAATCCATTTAAATGGAAATCAAGGGCTGCAAAATTTTGCAGTAGACTTTGAGATATACAAAAAATTATAAAGCAAGGTTTAGAATCATTGTCTAATAATCGGAATTTTAGCTCTAGAATCTCCAAGAATGAAAATGGCTATCTATGTATTTTTATTTTGCTTACTTAAGAGTACCTGAAGTCCGGGGTGCCTGGGTGGCTCATTGGGTTGAGGCCTCTGCCTTCAGTTCAGGTCATGGTCCCGGGGCCCTGCAATCGAGCCCCGCTTTGGGCTCTCTGATCGGCAGGGAGCCTGTTTCCCCCTCTCTCTCTCTGCCCACCTCTCTTCCTACTTCTGATCTGACTGTCAAATAAATAAAAAAAAAAAATCTTAAAAAAAAAGAGTACCTGAAGTGCCACAGAAAGAAATAATGAATACTAGCAATTATCATATGCTGAATTTGACTGTTGACACAGTGTATTTTGAGAGTCAGTTTAAGTGTACATTAAATACCTCACAACACAAAGGTAAAATTGAGTAAATTCCTGCTTAAATTAAATAAGACATTTCTTGCAGAAGTTAGGTATATGATATGCATTTAAGACTGTGTGAAGAAGCAGACTGTAAGCATCATTTGGGCAGAGACCTCACTTAGCTTTTTTCCTTATGTTTCCATTGTACAGTTTAACCATTTCCTCCTCATCGTAGAAAATACATGCAACACAAAATGTAGAATGAGTGAGTGAATGAACTAATGAGTAAGAACATTTTAATTAGCTCATTTTCTCAGGGTAGTGTTTTGCATTTCATATCAGTGTTCCCAAGGGACTTGGTAATGCTTTCTAAAGGCTGTAGGTAGGTATATAAATTAAGACAGTGCTACCATCAAGAGTCAGATCTCTTTTCACTTAATTTGCTCCATTCTTTTTTTCTTTGCAGAGAGATTCAATGTGTATCTTATGCCTACGCCAAATCTGGATATTTATGGTGAATGCACAATGCAGATCACTCATGAGAATATCTATCTCTGGGATATCCACAACGCCAAGGTCAAACTGGTGATGTGGCCTCTCAGCTCCCTGAGGAGATATGGACGGGACTCAACGTGGTTTACCTTTGAGTCAGGAAGGTAAGCTCCAAGTGCCACAACCAACCGCAGGAGGTGGGTGACAAATAGACACCTAAAGGACAGGTTCTGTCCACTAGTGCCCAAGGAGGACCACTGTTTTTGGAAAGGGTAGAAATCACCAAATACATAATTTCTTCATATTTTTGTTGATAATATGAATAAAATGTATCAATTTTATGACAGTTTAATTATCCTATTCAAAACAGTTCAGTCTTTTACACTGGCCTCACACTAATTTCAGAATAATTTTAATCTTGCAATATGTTTTATGATATAATTACAATACTATATTTTTGGTCTATCCTATAATATTTCAGTGAAGTAGGATTCCTGTGAAATTCAACATGTCCTTACTAGCATTATTTTTGTGAGATTTTTAATAAGCAAAAAATTTGAAAGGAGTTTTATATTAAATCATTGATATATTACTTTTTAGGTTTCAGGTATGTGAGTTCAGTATTCATTTATCCAGATTTCTATGTTAATAACATTAATTAAGTATAAATGTTAACTCAGAGTGACTGAAGCAATGTTGGCAAATCTATAATATATGAAATGCACAACCCAGATTTTAAATAGAGTATGTCAAAGCAAATACATTGGTTTCTTGGTCATAGCATACAGTTGGAATCCATAAATGTCTTAAATGAATGCTTGTTTCATAATCATTATTTACAGACTCAAGTTTAGACATGAGCTTCAACCAGAAAAATGAATGTCTTTGTGCAGTGACCTTTGTGATGTTGTTGTCACTCATCCAAGACAAGACCTACTTAGATTCGGGGATTCTATATAAGAGATGTTTAATATATCAGTCTTCCCACTGGGAACATGATTTATTCATTCTGAAAATGAATCCATTCTGAAAATGGCATTATAAGACAAGTGTAGTGAAGTTTTGTTTTACTCGATATAGCCATTTTAATTTCATAACTTTGTTCTTACAAAACCATTAAATACTTATTCAAGGTCAGGTTCTAATAATATCCATCTAGGTTAGGCCAAGGCCATATGTCTTTTAAAATTTTAAGGAGAGGGGAAAAATCCAGAGTTGAGCTGAAGTAATTTTACCAGTCTGGACCCTTTTGCCTAGGTAATATTAAACAATCTCCCACACTGATTTCTCTGAGAGCCTTCAATTCTTTGTCTGCTTAGTGGCCATGAGTTCACTCAACTGTCTATTTTCAGTCTGCTTAGATCCTGACAATAATAATAGTAATCACATTCTAGATAACTACTAGGTAATAAAAATTTTCTCAAGAAAATGAGTATTTTCAGGCATATACACTATTTTTAAAATTATATGGTTATGAAAAAGGGATTATAACTTATTTGCTGACCTAAGGTTTATGATACTTTCTTTTTTTTTTACTATCCATAAAAGTTAGTTATGTTTGAAAAAAGCAATGGTTTATTTTCATTATGTAATAACATTACATCCAGAATTCCCTTCTTTGGATATTTCTCCTAGGTATTCCTATTTGTCTATTTTTTTAATATTCATTATTGACATAGAATTGATATACAATAATTTGACAATTCTGTGCATGACTCAGTGCTCCCCATGATAAATGTGTCACCATTTATCATTATACAGTGGTATTACAATATTATTGACTATATTCCCTGAGCTTGTACTTTTCACTTCCATGAATCCCATATTTTATTTTATAACTGGAAGTTTGTACTTGTTAATTCCCTTCACCTATTTCTCCAATTACCCTACCACCTCCTTTCTGGCAGCCACCAGTTTGTTCTCTGTATTTATGCTTCTGCTTAGGTTTTTTGTTTGTTCATTTGTTTTGTTTTTGTTTTGTTTTGTCTTTTTTATATTCCACATATAAGGGAAGTCATATGGTATTTGTCTTTCTCTGTCTGACTTATTTCACTGAGTGTAATGCCCTCTAGGTCCACCCATGTTGTTGCAGATGGTAAGATTTCCTTCTTTTTTATGGCTGAGTAATGTTGCAGTGGTGTGTGTGTGTGTGTGTACGTACATACACACCACGTTTTCTTTTTCCATTCATCTGTCATCTGTGAATGGACCTTTGGGTTGCTTCTACATCTTGGTTATTATAAGTAGTGATGTATTAAATACAAGAGTACATGTATCTTTTTCACTTAGTGTTTTTATTTTCTTTGGATTAATACCCAGTGGTGGCATTATTGGATCATATGGTATTTCCATTTTTAATTTTTGAGGAACCTCCAAATGTTACATGTCTATTCCCTCATTTCAGAAGGCACCTACTCAGGATTTTAAATAACAAGTAAAGTTTTTTTCTTTTCCTTTTCTGGTGGTTATATAGAATTTTCACTCCATTTGTACCTGTCACCAGTTTTTCCCAATTTCTTGCTTCTCCAAAGTCTTTAAGGGGAACATACTAGCTCTCCACAGGTGATTAAATTGATATTCTCGACCAAAATATCAAACTAGCTGATAGGCAGCTTGTTTTATCTGACAGTCAATATTCATTGGTCTTCTATGATCTTTGTAATTTTTAATAATTTTAAGATACATTAAAAATAAAATATCTCAGAGTAAGTAAGTCCTGTAATCCTCAAGGTTTTTTGTTTTATTTTTGTTTTGGTATTTGTTCAGTTTTATTGGCTTAGGAGAGAGTTCTTTTCTACATTTTTTGTTTGTCAGGATAACTTCTTAAAAAATAAACAATAATATCTAAAAATCATCTTGACATACACACACTCCTACCTGCCCTGGGAATGAGAGAATGAGTTTAGGTCATAGCTCTGTCACTTGTTAATAACTTAGCAGGGGCCATTTGACCCCTCTGTCTTCCAGTTTCTTCTTTGTATTAGAAGAATACTTCTTATTAATACTTACTTACTACTTCTTATATAAATTTAGAGAGTTTGAGTTTGTGAATAAAAAGCAGCAGATGGCACAGTACTGTCTCTAATGGACATTTAAGAAATCATGATTATCTACTCTTCCTCAGAAATGATGTAACTTGTGTTATTTCCACTTGCTGAATGAAGCTTCTACCTACCTGTAAAGAGCTCTATTCTTAGAGAATTCTGTGAAGGTATATTCTTAGCCAAACACTGGAAATATGAGGAGAGATAAGCCAAGCAAAAAGCTTAGGAGAAGCCAGCATTCAAATGCTGGAACAATCATTAGAATCTTGGCGTCTAAGACTAAAAATCAGTGTTACCTGTCATGAGTCAGGAATTTGAGAAGAAAATGGGACTGGTGCAGCAAGACTGAAGTACAAATAAGGGGAAAATACTGAATGGCTGTCTTTATGCTAACTGGTGCTTGGAGCATAATTTTATGGGTTACTAGGTGCCTATTTCCTTGAAGAGTCAGCAGATATACAAGAACTCTCTAATTTACCATGTGTAATACTTTGGAATAAGTTACATTCCAACAGTACTGCCTGTGGGAAAATCATAGTGTAGAGCAATGAAAATTAAACTTCCTTACCCTTAAGTAGATTAAGGGAAAAATCTAAAAGAATCTCGACAAAAAGCTACTAGAACTAAGAAGTGAATTTAGTGAGGTTACAGCATATAAGGTCAGTATAAAAAAATCAATTTTATTTTATTTACAAGTAGTGCATAAATGTTTTGAATAACTCTTATAATGTCTTAAAAATATGAAATATATATAGGTTGTTTTAACAAAATGTGTGTGAGACCTTTACATTGAAAAACCACAAATATGCCTGAGAAATTAAAGTAAATAAATAAATGGAGACATATGCCACATTTGTGAATTGGGAGATACTATATTCATAAGATAACAATTCTCTCCAATTCAATGTATAGATTCATTGTAATCTCAATAACAATCCCAGATGACTTGTCTAAATTAAATGACAAGTTCATTCTAAAATAAGATTGCAGAAGACCTAGCATAAGCTAAAACAATTTAGAAAAAATATATTTGATGGAGTTCTACTGCCAAATTTTAATACTTGTTATAAAGCTACAGTAATCAAAACAGTGTGATATTGACATAAGGATAGACCTAACTATCACTGGAAAAGAATGAAAAGTTCAAAATAGACACCACATATATGGCCAATTTATTTATTTTTTAATATGCTGTGGTATTTCAATATGAAAAAAAACAAATGGTGCTGGAATGACTGGATACCCATTAAGGAGGAAAACCAATAGCTCTTTACCTCACCACCATGGACTGAATTGTGCCCACCTCCTCCCCCTGCATTATTCAAATGAAGTCCTAATCCAAGTGTGATGGTATGTGGAGATGGGACCTTGGAGCCTTCAGAAGACAGTTCAGTGTAAACGAGATCATGATCATAGGGCCGTCATGGTAGGATTAATGTCCTTTTAAGAAAAGATACCAGAAGGCTTGTTTTCTCTCTCCTGCCATGTTAGGACATAGGGAAAAGACAGCAATCGACAAGACAACAAAGAGAGTCTTCAACAGAAACTGACCATGCTGGCTCCTTCATCTTGGGCTTCCAGCCTCCAGAACTAGGAGAAAATAAACATTGTTCTTTAAGCCCCCCTGTTCTTTAAGCCCCCCTGTTCTTTAAGCCCCCCTGTCTGCAGTACTTGTTATGGCAACTCCAGCTAATACACTCCCCTTTAAAAAACTCCAAATGGATATAGACTTAAATGTAAAAGCTAAATTTATAAAATTTATAGAGGAAAATATTTCTAACCTTGAAATAGGCAGATAGTTCTTAAATACTAAACCAAAAGCACAATCCAAAGAAAAAATATTGATAATTTGGGCTTCATCAAAATTAACATCTGCTCTTCAAAAGACATCCTATAGAAAATGAAGGGAAAAAAATGAAAAGGCAAGCAATAGACAGGGAAGAGGATTCACAAATCCTGTATCTGACAAAGCATTTTTATTTGTAATCCTTAAAGAATTCTTACAGCCGAAAATAGGAAGACAAATAAACCATTAATAAAATAGGCAAAAAAATTGGACAGGTTATAAAAGAAGATATGCAGATTGACAGTACAAACAAGAAAAGATGTTTATTATTATC